GTTAGGCCGGTTGCGAGGACAGCAGCCCTTCGGGCGTTAAAAGGGAAGGTCGGGTGCGGGCGCCGACGGCGTGAAGAAGCGGGACGTCGGGCAGAGCCCGCTCCCCGCCCCGCAGCGCGTGTGGCTTTCCCCGCCCCGTGCCTTTCCCGCCGGGGCCTGACCCCCCGGCCGCCGTGGGGCTCTCGCGTCCGGGGGGAGCCCTTGGGCGCTGAGAGGGGCTGTGCAGTAGCTGGTGGTTTATGTTGGGGGGAGTTCCCAAGGGAGAGACGTACCAGGCCTGTGGGGAGTTAAAAACGCGTTTATTGAAAACCACCGGGGTGCAGGAGGCCTGAGGCTCAGTGGGCAGTCACCTCCCCCGGGGTGAGACTTGGGGGGGGTGACTGGGAGCTGGGTAAGGAACCGGTTTTGTTGTTTTCGTGTTTTCTGTGGGTCCTGGAGTCAGGTACCGTGTTCTCACTGGTCGTCTGTGGTTGGCAGGGCCTTGTGGTCACGTTGTGGTTCGTAGGTTGCCAGGTTTCTGCTTCTCTGATTGCTCCTATCAAGATGGGAGTTTTGGACTTGGGTTGCCAGGGACCTCATAGTTTATAAGACTAATTCTCCTTTGCAAAAAAGTAATAGTCATTTTTGAAATCTTGGAGTTGAATGGGGGGAGGCAGCATCATAGAAAGTGTTTTGGAAAAAAAACACACAAAAATAGATAGGGTAATATAACAAAACTCTTATATCCATCATCCAGCTACAGCGGGTATTTGTGTTGTTCTGGGCCTAGGTGCAATGACAATGGATGCCATCTTAGCTCGACTGAAACTCCTGAACCCAGATGACCTCAGAGAAGAAATTGTCAGAGCCGGATTGAAATGTGGACCCATTACTGCAACCACAAGGTTCATTTTTGAGAAAAAATTGGCTAAGTCTTTATTAGAGCACCAAAGAACCCTGCCCTCACACCCTCCCGACCAGGCTGCCCCAGGTGCCACAGCTCTCAGCCAGGACACACATGGGATTTTGAAGTCTGCCCTACGGAGCCCGGCTGAACAGATCGGCTTTTCTGAGGACAGAGATTTTGGTTATAATGTGGGCTTGAATCCTGTGGCAGAAGAGGACCTGAAGTCTCTTAAGACCTGCTCAGTGCCCCTCAGTGCTGTTGCTGAGGTTGACAGCCCCAAAACGGTGGTGAGGGCCTCCACTGAGCCCCCTCTGTACTACGGGGTGTGCCCAGCCTACGAGGATGCCCCGGCAAGAAACGGTAATGTCACAAGCATGATGTTTCTTACACAGGGAGGGGGTCATGGACAGCAGGGGTAAGGAGATCTTAAAAATTCCAATAGCAGAGGAGAAGAAAAAATAATTTAGTCACCATAATCTCATCACCCCAAATTAACCTCTCGGCATTTTTATATAGATGTCTCTTAAAACATTTTTTAAAATCTATATCTGAATTTTTTAAAATCAAGAAAAATATTTATTGGCTGGCTACTATGTGTTAATCATCCCCCCTTTTTTTCTTTTTCAACATAATCTGAACATCTGTTGTCTTAATGAATGTGCATGGCCAGTGAAGGTATAAATAATTTTCAATGTCAAAGAATTGCTGTTTCAAACAAGTAAAATAGCATTGGAAAGAACTGATGAAAACTTGTGGGATAGAATTTAATACATATACATACAGTACATAAAGTAAAGGTGAAGTTTCTTTCCTCCTTCCCAGTGAAATCTCACTCCCTAGAAGTAACCACTTAATAACTGCTTTTTGTATATAGGTGTGTGTATAGGTCTACATTGTTTCATTTTAACTTAAAAATGTTAAGTAAAAGTGTCAGGTCAAAGGGATGCATTCTTAAACTTAGAAAGCTGCCACACTCTGAGAGGTGTTACCCTTCAAGGTGTATGCGAAAGTAATTCTCCAGTCTCTCTGCAGCACAACATTGAACTCACTTTTTTTCTAAAAAGGGAAAACAGTATCTTGTGCCCATTCTGTCGCTCATACTGCACATTATTGAACTCTTTCTGTCGCTTGCATGAGAGAGAGTTTTATCTCATTTTAGGTTGATTACCTTTTTATATGGTTATATATTTATGTAATGAAATGCTTGGTCATACCTATTGCCATTTTTACTGGGCAGTGGATGTTACCATTCTTCTGTTATATCAGTTAAAAAATGTTTCTCCCAATCTGTGGTTTGTACTTTATATGTTTATGAGAGTCTCGTACAAAACTTGATGATGATAGTTCCCCTACAGAACTTTAGTATTTTTATTTAATCAGGACGAACTTTTTTTTATGTATTCTAGATTTCTTGGCATGCTTAAAAAGACATTCCCTGCCCAGAATTATGTTTAAAATTCTCTTACATTGTTTTGCTAATAATGTTCATAGTTTTAAAACTCACTTTCTTTGTTATTATTTTTGTTTATTAACCCATGAATTTTATCTTTAACTATGAGTAGTATCTTTGGATGTAAAATCACATACATGTGTAAAATGTGTATCGTATTATTTGTATCCACACCTGGATGATCAAGCTTACTGTGCTCTTTCCGCTAGCTGAGGCCCTTTTCTTCAGGACTAAGACATGAAACATTAGTACCAGAGAAAAGTCAGGCAGCGGGGTAGCAACTGTTCGCTGTTAAACACGGTACCTTTGGGTGTGGCTACCTGGCAGTGGCTCCAGTTCCTCATCTTCACTTCCCATCTGTTACTTGCCCCAGCAGAAAGGATTCATGTATATGAAGACAAAAAGGAAGCATTGCAAGCTGTCAAAATGATCAAAGGATCCCGATTTAAAGCCTTTTCAAGCAGAGAGGATGCTGAGAAGTTTGCTAGAGGAGTTTGTTGTTCTTTCCCTTCTCCGAGCAAAGCTTCACTACTTTCTCCTGTGAAAACAGCATCGCTCTCCAGCAGTGGCGGGTTCAGAGGTAAGTTATGTAGCAGTTCACAGCTTGGCATTACTTCAAATTTGCCCATGAGTGTTTTGTGCTCTTTCCTTATATATGGGAATCAATTTTCTCTGCCTTTAAGAGAAGTCCAGTTTGCCAGGAAGTGAAAGCCCAGGCCGTGGAGCAGCTAGAAGAGGATTGGTCGTTGGTCTGGTTTCGGGGAACCAGGGACCATGAGTGTGTGGAGCCGAGGGGAGCTGAGTGGGCCAGGCCACAACTCTAGACCTCGATACCGATGAGCTGTGGGAGAAGCAGCGAAAGGACCACTGCCAACCCTGCTGTCCTGGTCCCTCTGTCTTCTGCTACCTGTCCTCTTCCCTGTTACCTGTTGGATTCGGGGGCATGTTTTGATGCTGAGACCAGTCTTTTTCCCACCTAAAGCCACACCTGCTTCTAGGACTGTGGCACCAGCTTTGATCCAGATGATCCATTCAGTCAGAAACCTGACCAGCCCCCTCCTGGCTCAGAACCTGGTTTTGTGAGGGGGCCTTTGTCATCAGCATTGTGTAAAGCTCTGGCCTCAGTCTTGTTCCCTCTTGGAGCTCACAGTTGTCCTGCTTCCTAGGCCAGCTGGGGTTCCAGAAAGGCCCTCTCCTAGCAAATATTGGGCTATCAGCCGAGAGTCCCATCTGCTTCCTTTTTTTTTTTTTTAAATGTATCTTTATTGACCTCAGAGAAAGGAAGGGAGAGGGAGAGAGATGAGAGAGCCGTCATTGATCGGCTGCCTCCTGCACACCCCCAACTGCTTCCTTTCGTCTGTTCCCTTACTTGTCCTTACACACATTCCTTATGTGGAAATCAGGATGATTTCAAACACAGGTTTTCCTCTGCGCAGTTTGTGAATATTTCCCTCAAGAAGGTCTCTTTTAGACTTCTTCAGGTGTTGTAGTTAAACCAGTAGAAATCACTTTGGCTCACTGCCTTCATGGGAATGCTCCATGCGCTTCAAAGATCTGGGGGCAGTGCTGGAGGCCATGTGCCCCTATCCCCTCCAGCTGCTAAGCTCGATGCCCCCTCACAAAGCTTTCCCAGCTGGAGTCCAGTAGGGTTTTACTCTCCACTCACATGCTGCTGCCATGTGCTTGTGCCACTGCTGTAGGCTAGGACATTGTCCCTCTAAGCACTGTCACTGTTCCTTACCTGTCGCTCCTACTAGATCATGGGCCTCTGGGACAGATTTTTATCACCCTCAGTGTAGCACATGGGGGTGCTAAGAAAATGTTTGTGAAATTAAATGTTCTTTTTTTTTTTTTTTCCCTTTTAATCGTATTGACTGGGATTATATGCCACAGGTTTTTTTCAGCTAACTGGTTTTTGGCTTTCATTTATGTGTTCTACTGTTTCATTTCTTGTTGCTGTTACTAATGACTTTAACCTTTATTTTTATTGATTTCTTCTACCTCTATTTCTTTATTGTTAGTTCCTTTTCAAATCTGCATTAGTTATATATGTAACTTATTCAAATTAAATGTTCTTAAATTCTATCTCTTAGCAACAGATGGTTTATGCTTATCTGAGTCAGAAACAGTAAACAAAGAGCGAGCGAACAGCTACAAAAATCCCCGCACTCAAGACCTCACTTCCAAACTGCGAAAAGCTGTGGAGCAGGGAGACGAAGAAACCTTTTCCGACCTTATCTGGAGTAATCCTCGGTATCTGATTGGTTCAGGGGACAACCCAACCATTGTGCAGGTAAGCCTGCATCCAGCATCGTTAGAATCAAGACTGTGGGTGAGAAAAATGAAGCTAAAAATGTGTGGTTTTTCTGCAGGAGGGATGTAGGTACAATGTCATGCACGTTGCTGCCAGAGAGAATCAGGCTTCCATCTGCCAGCTGACTCTCGAGACACTGGAGGACCCCGAGTTTATGCGGCTCATGTACCCAGATGATGCCCCGGACATGCTGCAGAACCGCATTTATTACATCCTCGACCTGTACTTGAACACGCCTGACAGGGGGGTGAGTGCACCACCGGTCTTTCTTTAGTAACATTATAGCCAGTCTTACAGTTAAAACGAGTCGTGTGTCTGGTTTTGAGTATTTACTGCATCCCTGCACTGTGTCAGTGCACATGGAGGGTGAGGAAGGAGACGTGCGTTCATTGAGCTCAGGGAGCTTCGAAAGACGGAGACGCTCACACACACAAGTCCACCCCACCAGGCAGGCTGCTGTGACCTCAGGCCAGTGGGCTACAGGCAGCAGAGGGAGGTGCAGCTGTGGGGAGCCTGGGGAAGGATTCCAATGCAAGTCAGGAAATTGGGAAGCATTGTGAACTGAGGGGTGGAGAGTTGTTTGTTGTTTTAACTTTTCAAAACTATTTTCTCTTTCTTAAATTTTATTTTTTAATTACAGTTTATATTCAGTTATTTTTACTACTTTTAGGTGTACTTCATAGTGGTTAGAAAATCATACTTTACAAAGTGGTCCCCTGATGTTTCTAATTTTTTTTTCAATTACAGGTGACATACAATATTATATTAGTTTCACGTGTACAACGTAGTGACTAGACATGTAACTTACAGAGTGATCCTCCTGATAAGTCTTGTGCCCACCTGACACCTTAGTTTTCACAGTATCATTGACTATATTGCCTATGCATCCCTGTGAGTTTTTGTAACTGGCAACTTGCACAACTTAATCCCATCATCTTTTTTATCCAGCCCACCCATCCCTTTGGCCATAAGTTTGGTTTTTGTATCTGTGAGTCTGTTGCTGTTCTGCTTGTTCATTTATTTTATTTTCTAGATTCCACATAAAAGTGATATCATACTGCATTTGTCTTTCTCTGACTTACTTCACTCAGCATAATACCCTCTCAATCCATCCATGTTGTCAAAAATGACGAGATTTCATTATTTTGTTTTTTATGGCTGAGTAATACTCCTTTGTACACATGTACCACTCCTTTTTTATCCACTTGTCTATCGACGGGCACTTAGGTTGTTTCCATGTCTTGGCTGTTGTAAGTAATGCTGCAATGAACATAGGGGTGCATATATGTTTTCGAATGAGTGACTTGGGTTTCCTCAGATAAATACCCAGAATTGCTGGGTCATAGGTAGTTCTATTTTTAATTTTTTGAGGAACCCAGGAGTGGAGAGTTTGGTTTACAATGGTATTAGTTGCTAGAGAGTTTTCCTTGCATGCAGACCAATTTCAAAGGCCTTGCTTTATTCTGGACATTACCTTCATCTGTTTGTTTGACATTTTGAGCATTGATTATAAGATATCTTGCCAGTCCCTGAATTGTTAAAGCTCTTGTTTACTGGGCAGGTGTCACACCCCAGCTTAGTTGTCAGCTCCCCAGTGGACCTGGGCTCCCAGGTGCTAAGGCACTGTGCTGGGCTCCAGCCCTGGCATAAAATGGATACATGGTAGCTGCCAATATTCTTCAGTTATAAAAATAATGTCTTTTGTTTTCAAGGATTTTGTTTCTAGTGCTAAATACCCATTTTCATCATATAGCAACCTTATGAAACAAAGGAGCGTAAGTAAGAAATAAGTGTTGTTCCTTTGCACCTCTCAGGGCTACGACACCCCGTTGCATTTTGCTTGTAAGTTTGGGAATGCTGATGTGGTCAACGTGCTTTCTTCACACCCTTTGATTGTAAAATGCCCACGGAATAAATGTGGTAAAACACCTGAAGATGTAAGTACCTATTAAAATGCTGTTACTGTGTAATGTTAGAAATGAAAATATGTAAAATTACATCTATGATCACAGCCACCGTGAAGTCAGAAGTAACTCTGACTGTTATTTTTTTAACAGGTTATTTGTGAAAGAAGCAAAAATAAATCTGTGGAGCTGAAGGATCAGATTAGAGAATATTTAAAGGGTAAGGAGGGGCATCGGTGCTGGAGTGTGGGGCCATTGTTTGGCAGGACCTGGATAGCGTCCGAGCCTGGCTCTGTTTGGGGAGTGAAGCGAGGGTTGCGCTTGAGCTCCACTTGGCAGCTCTAGTCATGCTTACTCTTTCCTGAACTCCCCAGCTCAAGTTCCACCTTTGTCTTCATATAATCCCTCCTTTGATTCCGTGAGCTGTTCTCAAAGACCAAGCTGTTGGTCATTTGCCTGTTGTTCATAGCCCTACCCCTTACCCTCTGCAGGCCACTTATGCATCAGGTGAATCTGACCTTTCTCAGGTAGAAGCAAGCAGGAGAGGCTGTGCCCGAGCTCACTGGTTGCTCAGTTGCTTGTCAGGAGTTTCCCTGTCATCCATTTCTGCACCAGCCCTGCCCCTCCTTGGCAAAGCAGGGCTGCTCCTCCCTTTGCTCCCCGGGCAGTCCCCACTCTTGTGGCCTGGTGGCCCTGGGTCTCATCACTCTGGATTGGGAGTTAGATTGCCTGCTCTGCTTTTTAAGACATGGTCTATGGAGGTCCCCTGCCACTCTCTGTGGCCTCGCTCCTCTGGTCAGGAACTTGTGGGACTTGGCTCTGTGCCTCCTAGCTTGCGGGCTTCTGGAGTGTGAAGATGACTGGTTTCAGAAAGGGGCCTTTCCCACTGTCTTTGTGTTGTTTCCAGTGAGTTTCAGGCGATGCAGCCTTTCCTCGTCATCTTTAGCCAGAGGTCTCTGACCTCCACGGGTGCCTGTCTCTCCTGTCTTGGTTTCCATTCTTATCCAAATCCCCATCCATAGGTCTCCATTTAACAGACACTGCTGCCACCTCCTGCTTTTGTCAGGTTTATTGGCAGCCGTCTGTGTATATGTTGTTTCTGGGAGCTTTCCTGCTGCACCTGCCCGGTGACCTCCCACACTCTCCCTCATGACCTCACTCCAATCTCCCTTTGTTCTTTCCAGATCTCACATCAAAGTGTCTTGTGATTCTGCATCTGTTTAGAGATACGCAGTCAATGGTACAAAATCGTAACATACAAAAAAGATAGGGAATTGGGAAGGGAGGGGGTGAAAATGTACCTTCTTTTAATATTTCTCCACTGCCCACTTATGCTAATCTTGTTAACACAGTCCCACCTCTCAATCCTTTTAAGTACCTGGGGTGAGGAGTTGTTCGTGCTCCCTTTCCCCAGCAGAGGAAGAGTGTGAGGCTCACTAAGTGAGTCTGGCACAAACTGGCCTCTTGCCCAAGTCCTTCAGCCCCAGAGGTGTGCAGCCTTTTTATTGTTAATATCATGCAGTCACTTGTATTGTTTCTCGGGCTGTTTACTGGATGTTGCACACGTGCACTGAGGTGGGGAGCTGTCTAAGCAGATGCAACTAGCCTTGGTGTCTCCCCAGGTCACTATTACGTGCCACTCCTGAGAGCAGAGGATACGTCGTCCCCAGTGATCGGGAAGCTGTGGTCTCCAGACCAGATGGCCGAAACCTCTTACATTGGCCATGGTGGAGGTGGCCCCAGAGACCCTGTTCTGACCCTGAGAGCCTTCGCGGGGCCCATGAGTCCAGCCAAGGTGAGCTGCTATGGTAGCTTCTGGAATGAGCTCCTAGCTGTCCCCACCAGAAGTGCTGAGTGTTCCAGCTTTTTCCTTTGTAGTTGGTCCTAGAGACCAGGGCGCATGGGACCCCAGTGAGTTAGTGATGAGGCTTCAGAATGTTTGCTGGAGAAACAAGAGTCTTTATCCTGCTCCTCAGCGGCTAGCAGGGTAGATGTGGTGTGGAGCCTGCGCACCTCAAAGAAGCAACGTTTCCCTTCACTGACCCTTCCCATGCCATTGTCACTGGGTTCTCCCATCAGTGTGGATGGCCCTTCTCACAGGGCATTGCCCAGCTAGCTAGGCTGTCCTTTCCAGCGTTCTGAGACCAGCATCGTCATGGGGAGACTTCCACTTGCAAACTTTGAAGTTCAGCTTCTGGACTGAGGTGTTTTATACAGTGGCCTATCTAATCTTTCCTCTTGTTGAAAAAATTCTGCGTGGTTATCTGCAACTTTAAAACATCTCCAAAAATACGTGGTATCAGTTGGGATTAGATTCAGCTGCATAAAACAAAACTCTAGTGGGTTAAAAAACATAATTTATTTTTCATTCGTGTGGTGGAAAAATAGAAGACTGGAGGCCTCGGTGGCAGCTCAGTGCTGCATTCCTCAGGTGAGGCTTTTTCCTCGGGCCTCGTGCTGCAGCTCCAACCCCACAGCCCACCCAGGACTGCAGGAAGTGAGGAGAAGGGCCCCTCGTCCCTCCTCCCCTGGGTCAGAATGCAGCCCTACTGTCTCTCTTAGCTACAAGCCAGGTGGGCACATTGCTCCGGGTGCGTGGGAGGATGGGAAGGGACACTGGGAGCATCCAGGTGGCTCTGTGATGCTGGTGGTTTACATTTGACTGGCAACCTGGACACGTAGCCCAGTGCAACCCATTTTCTCTTCACAGGCAGAAGATTTTCGCAGACTCTGGAAAACCCCTCCTCGAGAGAAAGCAGGCTTCTTTCACAATGTCAGGAAATCCGATCCAGAAAGAGGCATGGAGAGAACAGGAAGGTACTTAAATGCGTCACAGGAGTGACAGCTGAGTGGGGAAGTCATTTCCTGCACTGTGTGCACATGTGCTGACTGGGGGTGGGAACTTGTGATGTCTGCCTTCAGAACCAGAGTTCCCAGGAAGCCTTTTCTCCTGAGGCTCTGATTCTTTATAACCTTTAACATGCTGCAGTCCCTCCCCAAGGGGACCAAGCCAGGCAGCCGTGTCTGAGGGGTGGTAGTGTTTGAAATGAGGTGCCCTACGTTGGGTGCTTCCTTGACAATGACAGAGAACATAGGACACAAGACTCAGTGGCTAGAAGCTGCAAGGAACCATCAGGGAGCTAAATTACAGTGTAATCAAAGCATCATTGATTTGTTTTAGAACTTTTTCTCAAAATCTGTGCCCAGCTTCAGGTTTACAGCTTCAACTTGAACTTCTAAATTTTTATGTGCCTGGCCAAAACCAGAATCATATCCAACTTTTTATCACTTATATTAAAACTAAAAGGCTGTCTGTTGGTGGAGTTTTGCTGTTCACCTTTTACCTCTACCTTTTGTTGGTGAAGATGTGTTTTGGCTGCGGTCTTCCTTTCCAGTGACTGGTTCATTCCATCATGTTACAGCTCCATGAGTGAAACTGCTTGGTCCCACCATTGGGGGGGCGCTGCTTTAGAGGATGCAAAGTACTCTATTAGCCTCAAATTTAGGATAAAATAAAATTGGAACCAAGATTCCAGCCTTAATCAGCTATTTGCTGTGTCACCAGTTCTGGGAGTTTTTGTTCCGGTTTCACAACTGATCACTTGTGCTTGATTCTCACAGGCAGCTGGCTCACGAGCTGGGGTATCCTTGGGTCGAGTACTGGGACTTCCTGGGCTGTTTTGTTGACCTGTCTTCCCAGGAGGGCCTGCAGAAACTGGAGGAATATCTCACACAGCAGGAAGTGGGCAGAAAAGCCCAACCAGACACAGGAGAAAACAAAGCCTGTCTTCAGGAGAATGCCTCTGCTTTTGGTAAGGACTATGGGGCGTCCCTGGGCTCATGGGACCTCGACCCCATCCTTAGCCATGGACCAAGAGCCTGTCCCTGTGAATGTATGAACACCTGCTGCTCCTCTACGCATCATGTTCTCAGCACCCTGATGTCCTCACAGATTAGAGGGAGGCACCAGGCACTGACCGCTCCTACCTGTGGCTGTCCTTGGCTTTGGCTTCCTTCTCATTTTCCCAGAGGCTCTGCTTCTGTTTGCTGGGTCCTGCTTGCCCTTTCCCTGGAGCATGGTGGGTGGTTTTGTCCTGTGTCTGAGGAGGAGGCTTTGATGAGGGGTTGGTTGGTCTTGGGGTCTGTGCTGTGCCAAGTGCACGTCATGCGGACTCTGTACCTGAGGAGCTGCTTTGTCTCCCTGACAGGCTGTTGTGGGAATTGCAGCAACTCCATCCCTGTGAGGGCCTTTCTGAGCGAAGACAATTCCATGAGCTTGGAAGAGATTAAAAATCGGCAGAACACAGCGCGAAACAACAACCAGCCCACAGACAGGGCTCTCAGAGACTCGGGGTGCGACATTCTTCCCTTGGAGCAGAGGACAAACCTCATAGAAGACTCAGCGCAGACCTGTCTCCACAGCAGCAGGAATGGGTTCTACAGCCCCCCGAGCAGTGGCAAGAGGACCATGGCCGCGAGCGGGGAGGGAGCCCTCTCGCCACCTGTTTCCGGCTTGACTGTCGAGTTCAATAAGCTCAAATTGCAGAGTCTAGGAAGTGGATTTTCTGAGACACCAAGTAAATGTGTGAAGACGAGAGATAAGATCCTGGCATCTAGAATGGACGCAGTGAAAAGTGGTATGTTAGAGCCTCCTGCTGATGACAGACTCGGAAGCAGCCAAGCAGGGACGGAAAGCGAGATGTCAGCGGGGATTGCTAACTTGTGCCTGGGTCCCCACAGTCCTGGACACGAGGCCCAGCACATCTGCACCTCCAAGCCCTCGGGCGTCCCTGCAACAAATGAACCTGCCTGGAGGCTCTTCCTTTTTGGGTATGAGTTGGGGGTGTGAGGATATGGGTGACACTGTAAGACTAGAGGGTCTGAGTGTGGTTAATGCTGTAGCACAGGTCTGAGCACAAGGTGACACAGAGCAGGGATGTGAGTGTGGGTGACACTTTTAATTCTCTGAAAGCTTTCCTCTGCCCACAACCTGACTGCACGTGCACCCCTAGTTCCCACGTGTCATGTTTGTAGCTTCTTGAGACTTCTGTCCCAGGTGGGTCTTCAGGTTGGTGGGAGATGCATCCCTTCCAGCCCGTCCTTGCGCTGCTGTTCTTCCTGGGGAAGTAGCCCTCAAAATGACTGGACCTATCCTAAGAATGTAGCTTGTTTTAGAAGAAAGATCTTCTGGGGGTCAGTCTCCGTCTCCCGGGTTGTGGCCTGTCCCAGGTCGGTGGTTCTCAGAAGTGGAAATAGAACTGCATTTTCACAGTGGGGGTGGGTCCTTGGAGTGCTCTTTTGCCAGGGTCAGCATGTCCTTTCCGACGCCTTAGTTTCAGCTCCTCCGCAGCCTGGGTCAAGGCCCAACAGCTGGTGCTTGAGATGGCAGTGGTGGACCAGCGCCCACCTGTGCTGGTTCTTGAGTTAGGAATGCAGTGGTGTATAAGTCTGTTTTAGTCACACATGTTCTCTTCTCTGACACCATCTAGGGAGGAGCCGTCCAAACTGGATTGTGATGTCTTGGCAGCTCTGGAGGGTGCAGACGTGGACCCTCAGCGGCACCCTGCTGTGCACAGGTGGAGGCGTGCCATCCTGGGCTACCCGCCCTCTGACAGACAGAGGTACCCATGGGCCCCTGGGGTTGCTGGTACTAGTGTCCCAAAGGCTTGATTCTGACCCACATGCATATGGTGGTTCCCCTAGGACACTGGCCAAGCTAGTGTGTAGCTCCCGACATGTGTCATGGCTGGGGCACCGCAGAAGAGAGGTCTGCAGTGGGTGCAGAAGCAGAAGGGGTGCCAGGATTCCTGGTCGAGGTCATGTGGGATTCCTGTGGACAAGTGAGCTTTTAATCTTCAGGGCCTATGTTCTGAGGTTCTAAGGGCCTCTTGTCAGATCCACAGTGGTCCCTTGGGTTCAGGTACAGGAGCCCAGGTCCTGTCATGGCCTCTACTCTCCCCGCACCCCCACTGTCATGCTGACAGACCTTTCTTGGTTTCTTCAGTTGGCCGAGCCCTGCGATAAAAGGGAAGTTGACATCTCAGCTGCCGGATCTCAGTTGCCCTCCCAGCTGCAGCCCAGGGAGAAGTGGGCCCTCTGGGGGCAGCCCCAGGAAGCCTGGCTCCGCCCCCCACTCCCCCCGTATGGGCAGCCCCGGGCGCTACAGCCCTGCCAACGGCGGCCACCTCCGCAGGATGGCGCACCTGGCCCAGCTGGCAGCCATGTAGGGCTGGCGCGCATTGCTGGTTCTCGCTTCATTAAAGAAGGGTAATGTGTTTTTTGCTAAAATTCATAGAAAGTGTATATTCTGATTAATTTATTAATCCTCATTTTGAGAGTAAAAACTTTAGAAAATGCAAATGTTCCATATAAAATGGAGGTTTCTGGCATTTTGGGAGAAGTTGATGAAAGCACATTCAGATACTAGTTTTCTGAAAACTGTCTGCGGTGACAATACAGATCACAGTTACCATCCTGGTTGCCTGTGAAACAGTCGGGAGCCAAGGCTGCTTGTGCTCCCAGGAATCCCGGTGGGTGCCGGGAGGTGGGGTTGCTGTGCTGGGAGCAGCCTCCCTGCAGGAGCCGTCCTCACTTCAACTCAGTCCTGAAAACTGAGGTGAATTTTGTTCACCTTCCTTTTGTGGGGAGGGTTTTTCACTTCCGGGTTCTACTTGGTTAGATGAAGATAAAGCTTTTCTCTCAGACAAAATCTGTAATGAGTGGGAGGCACATAAATGTCACCCAGGATTTGGCAGCAGCCACAAGGAGGTGTTTTCTCTCTCACCAGCACTGGACGTCAGTGTACTTTGTCTGTTGTCAGTGCAGTGGAGATGGGATGGTCTGTAAGTTCCCTGTTTTTGAAATTATCCCATATTTTAGAACTTATTTCAGTTGAAGTTCCTTCATAAAAGTGTCACATTTTAGTACAGAAACTAGAGGTTGACTTTTGACAGGTTCGATCCTGGTTTAGTTACTAGAGTGAGGTTTACATTAGCCTCCACCCCACCCCCAATCTGCGCGCGGAGTGTGGGGGTCACAGCTCCCTGTGCCATAGTGGATGCCCAGGGACAGACACTGGAGTGACAGACGACTGCTCACGCACCAGCAGTATTTTGTGTATCTCCAGAGTGAGATCAAATGAAAACTCTACCAGTGCTTTTACTGACTTCAGTGCCTTTTGTAAATCATTTTTTATTTTCCTGAACTTGCTCTTTGAGAATGTATAGTGATACTAAGTAGGCGTGAGATTCTTTTTTACTCATAAAAGTTTTATTTCTTTCACACGATAACAAGGGACAGGTCAGGAATATTAGAATCAAGATTTAGATTTAAAAATTCTAATGGCTGTTGGACAAGGTGTTTTCACATGTAGTGTGGCCGACAGTCTAGATAGAAGACAGAAAATACATCTTCTAAAATCCAGGGGCATTTAAAACCGCATCTTTGCTCTCAGCAGAAATCAGAAAACAGATGTGTTCACAGTGCTGATCTGTTTTTTCTAGAATCTTACCCTACTGTCCTGTATATTGCTGTAAATATTCAAGTGGAATTAAAATAGTGTTTTTGCTGTAATTTTGCTGACTGCTATTTCTGTTTTGTGAAGTTTTGGCCTTTGTTCCCCATTTGTTTCTATCAGGTAGCCCAGTCCCAGTGATCACATCACCATGAGACCTGCGGTGATCTTTTTAAAACCACTTAATGAATTATTTTTAAGACCATGTGGTAATAACTCTTTAAGATTTCAGAAAGATCTCTCACCTGTTAACAGGCAAAATGCCCTTTTTAGTTGAATCTTAAGTAGTGTTTGGTGAAACTTAATCTTAGTCATTTCCTTGCTGGTTTGGCCCTTTCATTCCTGACACAGGTTGTGAGCATGTGGCATCAGTTAAGTCTGCACAGATTCCTAACTGCCCTTTGTGACATTAACAATTGGTGTGTGATCTCTGCATTTGGAAAGGGGTGACGTGAACTGCTCTTCTGGGGGTTGGGGTGCTGGGCCTCCTTCAGTTGTGAAGTGAGTGTCCGTCCATGTGCAAGGACCACAGACAGATCCTCTGCATAATTGTTAGATGCTTCCTTAAACTTCCACAGCTTCTAGAGGAAATGATGGGTAGTAGGGTACCTCCCTGTTGGAGTAGTCTCAGACGTTCCCTGAGCCAGGTGCACTCACTGGGCTGCCGGAGGCACACGCTTTTCCTGTGTCTAACACCAAAGTTTTGCATGTGCACAAACACCCATGAGTGTTCTCCGGCTTAAACTTTCCTGTCTTCAACCATCTCAACAGAAAACATTTAGGAGTAAACAGCAGTACAGCACAGCAGGAACCAGTTGCCTGCCTTCCCACTGGTGTTGGTTCAGGTCCCCTCATGTCACATGCATTCCTGGTTGCATCTTTGTTTTGGCCAAATTTAGGATGTTACCTGCATTTCAGAAGCCTTTGGTCACCTGTCCTGCCTTGGGACAGTTTCCATCGATGTTACTCTACCCTGTAATTGAATGTCCAGGTGCCTCCCACTCCTTAGCTGCATCCCCCGTGGGTGGGCTCGTTTCTGGTTTCTGAAATGCTGCCCTGCTACCAAAAAGGCAGGTCTGCAGACAGGGAAGAGGACCTGCCACCTCCACCTTCAGGCCTGTAGCTCCCAGGGCCTAGGGCTGAGGTGCAAGGCTCCCTGGCCTCACACAGGTCAAATGTGAGCATACATTTTAAATTTGTGGTTTTAGAAGTTGGGAGATTCTGGCTGAGTTGTCAAAACTATTCCTGGGAAACGGTGTATGTGGTTGCTGTTTCTGAAAAACCATTTATCATGTCAGGCCCACTGTCCTGGGTCAGGGCTGGTCACTGATGTCCCTGGTGGCAGCTGCCCAGCAAAGCCGTCAGCCCTCAGAGCACAAAATACTGCGGAAAAGAGCTTTCTGCTGAAACTTGCAGCAAGTTTGGGGTTGCCCTTCTCACGCTGTACAGGCCTCCCGTTCTCTTTAAAAACATTCGCAGTAAGCACTTTGAAAACCAGTAAAATAAAATTTTATTTTGTACTTATTTCCAAAGTTGACAGAAATGATGAGATACCCCATTTAGTTGCGCTGACTACAGAAAATATTCATAACCACTTCATAGAAACTGTACTGTTTTTGTAAATATCAATGTTTGGGTCGACACATCAAATATTTTAATCCATAAGCATAAAAGTTTAATAGCCAGAGGCAAACAAAGAATGAGCTGTCAGTTGGGACATTTTACTTGAGGACTCTTCTGGGCTGTTACCACCCGGCCCCTCCCGTGAGACCAGCAGATTGCATCTTCTCCCTCGCCAGCACAGGTGCTCCTGTGTCCAGAGGCCTAATAGCATAGGTCAGTTGAGGACCAGCAGCATCGGGGTGCATGAGTTTGGAGACACTGGTTTTCAATGCAAGAACCCAGATGGAAAATCTCTGACAAATATTTAAGTGACAAAGGGGTTTTAAGAAATGAAGAGAGTGTATGAAGCAAAATAACTGATGAATGGAAACACCGAGCCCTCCTCCAAGTCCCTGGTGCCCAACAGGCTTTACTGAGAGAGCCTCAAGGGGTCGCATGGCCAGCTGCAGATCTGCCATGGTCCTGGCAGTGACATCTGTGAAGCCTGCTTGAACCCCACAGGCTTGTCCTGGATGAGACTAAGGCAGGAAACCTCGCGGAAGTATCAGGCTGGCCTGACCTGAACGTTCCCCTTTTCCATCCTGGGCCAGAAAGGACTGAAACGCAGTGTTTCAGACACTTCACCGCCACCTGGTCCTGGAGAAATTGACTGCAGCGCAGCCTGTGGAGTGGACAGGCAAGGCGGACGCATTCTTGGTGGCTCCCACGCCAAAGCCAGGCATGGGTGAGAAAAGCAGGGCCTCAGGAGCGGGAGATCTTGTCAGGAGGCATGAACCCCGTGTCCCCAAGGGCCCTGAGTGCCACACGGCCATCAGGCCGGACCACCAGGTGGGTGATGCTGCCGTTGTTGAGCGAGAGGCGGAGCCAGCCTTCTGGAGGGAACTGCAGCGCCCTGGGGGG